ATCCAGAAGTCCAGAGAGCTTGGCATTGTCCAACTTGGGCCAAGTGCCAAGCCAAAAAAGGATTGTTTCAAACTGTGGCCTTGGTTTGGACAACCTGATAACTGCATGGTAAGACCAGGTTTTATGTTGTGATATGATCATGAAGCTATCTGCTTGTACTATATGCAATGGTCGGCTACGGGAACTAGGTGTACTTCTACAATTTGATACTTTTCGGCATTTCCTCTATAGCCATTATGTGGCCTAGAAACCTGCAATATTTAGAGAGGGCTAGGTAACTGCAATAATCAATTCCACACTTTGTGACACCTTTACATGAAATTTTGCAAAGGTACGAAAGATGTTTATAATCACAATGCAGCAGCCACTTATATAGCTTCAAGTTGCAATATTTCATGGCGCTGAAGATTAAATGTTATGATTTCCTTGCTCGAAATGTCTTAAGAGTACTATTTCTGATGATTTGCACCGCCATGGTGAGTGAATGTTGAACCGAGGTTAGGGTGCAGTACTGCAGGCCACTTCAGCTGACTGTTATCTGCAGTTCGGCAGTTCAAATCTCACCGGCTCAAGGTTGACTCAGCCTTCCATCCTTCCGAGGTGGGTGAAATGAGGACCCAGACCGTGGGGGCGATGTGCTGACTCTGTAAACCGCTTAGAGAGGGCTGAAAGCCCTATGAAGCGGTATATAAGTCTAACTGCTATTGCTAACTATTCTTAGACACACTCATAACTCAATCTGTTAAGTTTTAGGCAAAACAGTGGCCTTCTCTGGAACATATTTAAGGAACACTGGTTGTAATACATTAATCACTTTTACTTTTAATTAGTTAGCCCTTGATTTCGGAGCCTTCATTTAGCTACTGTTTGAAGTTACCACGGTGCTGGTAAAAAGGGACTTATAATGTACTTACATATGACCCCTGCAGCATCTCCCACCAACATGTGGCAAAAATTCAGGTACTTGACAACTGGCTTGTATTTACAATTATTGTTGCACCCCCAGAGACATGTAATTGCAGTTTATGACCCTCTCCCAGATGGTTTCTGACAAGCAAAGTTAATAGGGGAAGATTTAAGATTTGCTTAATGGCAGCGTGATTCAGTAATGACCATGGTGATTTGCTTAACAACCAAGGTAAAAAGGCCGCAAAACCAGACACAAGTCACTTTAATGATTGCCTTTCTCAGGGATGGAAATTCCAATCCCACTTGTGGTCCTAAGAGCTATTTATCTTGAATTAATTTTAATTACTGCTTGATGAAGCCACTGTGGCTGGGAAAGAGACTATATTATTAGTCATCTCTCAATCTGGCCTGCTCTGCCCCAGATTTTCCCATGTGCGAAATAAATGAGGAACAAAGCAGGGATTACACTCTTTCTGCTGATGTTTTTGACTACTTTTCAAAGCACAGCAAAAAAAATGAGAGATTGGCAGTCACCTGCCAAATCGGTGAATACACTGCCACATTTTGTAGCTATTGAATCCCGCTCCCAAAATGCTGGCATTGCCATCATTTTCCCCAAAACTGACAGCTCTTTTCTATCTTCTTTTCCAAATATGTCAAAGGAAATAGATCAAAGACAGGTTACTACGATTAAAGATGCAGGAACCATAGTTACAGGTTTTATATCCTTCCCTGTTCCATCCCAACGCAAAACACAGAATCATAGAGATGGAAAGGATAATTTAATCCAGTGTTTTTTCAAACTTGGCATGTAGGCTGGGGAATTCTAGGAATTAAAAGTACACACATCTTAAAGTTGCCAAGTTTGAAAAACTTGATTACAGCCGACAAAGGGTTCTAACATCAAAATAAACCCAACTGATTACTCTGCACATTACTCTACACATTTAGTTAAGGGGAGCCCATTATCTCCCTTGAAGATTGGTTCTACTGGTTTTTTTTTTAGTTTTTTTTTATTACACAGACAACACATACATACAACAATAAAAAAAAGAGCATCATCAAATACAGCATGTCGTTTGGTTACAAGTGTTTTAACATCCATATTCTCGAATAACATTTACCATC